GTGCAGACTACATTTGTAGTTTGAACGTGGTATGTAACAACTGAAGTAAGTTGAGAACAAAGGGGAAACCAGAACATTTTAAAAGCAGCAGAAAAAGTGGGATGGCAGAGGGTTAATCAGGACTATCCCTGGCAAACTCAAAGGCTCTTTCCACACAATTGAATAAAATCTCACATTATCCGCTTTGAACTGGAATATATGGCAGCGTGGACTCATATAACCCAGTTCAAAGCAGATATTGTGGGATTTTCTGCCTTGATATTCTGGGATATAGGGCTGTGTGGAAGGGCCCAAGGATAGCTGAAGCAAATTCTCATCTGAATTCAATTGGGGCAAATCAGTTGAATAAATATTTAAGTGCAATTTTATGTAAATAGTATCAATTCAATAGATCTTGCCTAGTTGGGACTACCAATAGTGTCAAAGCCTGTTATTTAACTCTTGCCTTCCCCGAGATCACTAAATTGCCTTAGGGAAGCCATTGCCTTTCAGCTTCCATTTTCCTATTGGCAATGTGGGCGGAAAATACTTCACTTGCTGAATTATTGCATGGATTATTTTATTAGATAATTCATATCAAGCATTTTGAATGCCTGAAAGTGCTATGCAAATGTTTATGACCACCAATATCATAATTACTAAGCACACAACATGACTCAGAAGAATCAATATTGCTCATCCTGACTTTGGCGGGTGAGTGCCCATATCACCTTGCTCAAACATCTTCATGTCATCCATTAGTCTTAGATGCCTTGAGATAGCATCTCCCTCCTGACTGGCTATTACTCTGTATAGATTAAAAATAATAGGGTTGCATCTGAGATCCTCTCTTGGAAATTTCCTGAATACTATGCAGCCTGTATCTTAAATAAAACCCTCCCAAGCATCCTCTTCAAATCTGGTGAAAGTTTATTTTCACCAGGTGCCTAACAGAGATTGTGATAATGATGATTAGCATGGCTGAACTTTGAAAACTGGGTCTTATTTGAGGTGCAAATTATTGGATAAGTAACAGCCATTCATATGTAACAGTTGTCATTATTTCAATTTCTCTTCTAACAGAGCCATCCTGAAATGACTCCCTCTTGCCTTTCTGGTTGCCATCAGCCACAGGCAATCTTGCTTACCACAGACTATGTATTGAACTTGCTTTCTCTTCATAGTAGTTCTTACATCCCATGGCCAAAACCTTCTCTGTACAGAACGTTCTGATATCACACCAGTGCCATCAATGATAGGAACAGCTTAGATGAAACAGCAGTTTCTACACTATGGTAGGCTCAACACTTAGGAAACATTATGTTTCTCTTAGTATTTTGGCACATGATTTATATCATGGCATAGACAATTACCCTATCCATGAGAGTCATGGCTGAAAATGTCCTGTCTATTACAACAGCTGCCACATAAAGAACTTAAAACCAGCTCTAGCAAATAGTGCAATGGTTGCACTCATACTTTGCAAGTAAAAGGTCCAATTTTTTTCCTGAACCCCTGGAGAGCTGACACTTGTCAATATGAAGTCTGTATCAAAGACCAAGGGGGAGAATTGTGTGGCTGTTCAGACATTGCTGAGCCATAACTCTCAATAGCCCAGATGAGCATAGCCAAGGATGAGAAATGCTGAGAGTTCCAGTTTAGCAATATCTTAACAACTTGAAGGCACTCAACATAAACTGCATTATTATCATCCCTAACCAAATGTATTCCAACCATGAGGCACAAATGAAAACACCCTCTGACATATGCTTGGACAGGTATACAGATATATACTGCTCCTTGAAAGATCATCAGTCCATCATGGAATAAGAATTGTGGTATATTGGCCTTCTAGAGAGTTTAGATATTGTAGAGTTTCTCACTTAGGGTTAGTTTTTTCCCTGAGACGTATCCAAGGACATCAGATGACCAGTGCTAAACCAAGGGAGACTCAAGAGTCTGTTTAGTACTTTGATTCAAGAGTTAATGTCGAGGATGTACCTACACTGAAGAATTAATGGACCTTGATTTGAAATGCCATGGCTCAATGCTATGATGTCATGAGAGTGCCTCACCACCCTACAACTCCCAAAATTCCATACTATTCATCTATTTATTTATTTCGGGTATTTATACCCCCTTTCTCAACCCTCTGGGGGGGGACGGACTCAGGGCAGCTTTCAGACAGCACATATTTGATGCCTACAAATAAACACAATAAAATATACATCAAAATCAAGAATTATGAATAATTAAAACATTAATATAATAAAATCTACTAAAAAGAGAAAGTCAGTCTGGTGGCTGTTGTCTCGCCGAGTTCTGTACTTGGCGACTCCGTTAAGCTTGCCCATAATCTGTTTCCATAGCAATTATCTTCATTGTCATTGTCAAGTCTGCAAAGATTACCCGAAGGCCTGGTTCCACATCCACATTTTTAACTTCCTTCTAAAGGAGAGGGGGGATGAAGATGACCTAATTTCCCTGGGGAGTGAATTCCACAGGCGGGGGGCCACCACCAAGAAGGCCCTGTCCCTCATCCCCCCCAACCGTGTTTATGACAGGGGCGGGGCGATGAATGATGGCAATTAAAGTGATGTCAAACAGCATTACTTCTACAGTGTAGCTGTCCCCTAGGTGCATGTGTGCTCTAGTTTGTGTATTTTCTAAAACCACAGCAAGAAAGAAGTGGTATAAACATTGTAATATCAGATTTGAATTATGGTACATCTTCATAACTCCCACCCTGCTTTTAAACAAGAATGGGCATCCAGTGCTGAATTGAATTGAGAAGCTTGTGGAGGTGCAAACTAATGATGGGCATTCGATAAAAGGGTGGGATCAAATGTACCAGCAGATTTAATCTGAAATGGTAGTCAGTAACGAAGCCTTAATAAAGTGTGTGTGTTGCGAAGCTACCAAACAGTGAAGGGGACACAGACATCTGAAAGAACCCATCCACCTTGCTCCCAGAGTTGGGCTTTTCTGCCTCTGCCATGCACAAGATGGATCTATTTTGATATAAGGTGGCTTTCTATGTTCTGGATGCATAAATCTGCTCCCTAACCTAAGACACTGCAATACCAGTGAAAACACACTTTTCAGGTGAATAAAGCAAATCACCAACTATTCTTAGATAATATCCTTCATGTTCCTGAATGATCCCCTAATCTAAAAGGCATATTCAAGCTCCCATAGTAGGATGAAGCCCACAAACCACCTAATGAAGAACAGAGGTTTCAGAGACTAGTGAGTGTACACATAAAAAAAAATAAGACAAATCAACAGGTTCCTCAACACTTCGGAATGAGAACATTAAGAGTATTTTCTCTCTCATAAAATATTCCATTGGGTATCTGTAATCTCCTTTGCTCCCATACACTCTACAAAGAGAAGCTGAGAGCAGGGGAAAATCTTCTACTTTATAATAAAGCTTGGATCCAAATATTTGCATTCTGGCGCCTACCTCCTCCTGTGACCTATCTATTGCACCTTTAGGAAGTACTGCTAATGTAGTGAAGTCAGCTGTTTGTCTCAGTGCTGAATATAAAACGAGGTCAGTTTAATCTGTAATAAATGTAAATACATAAATAAAAGACTTATCTATATATTGACAGAATGAGTGCAGCGGATTATTTGATTGTATAGCAGGGATGGGGTTTTGTTTTGCAAGGAACTATCTGATACCACCTTACAAACATTCACTTACAACCTTCAAACTAAATCAATGCACTTAGCCCAATTCTAAATATGTTTACTTGGATGTCCAAGACAAATTGACATTACTGTGTAAATATACTTAAGATGCTGTTTGCCCTTTACTCAATTTCACACCAGAAATTTCAAAGTAAGTCGAAATAGAAACAATCTAAACCAGAGCTTTCCAAACTATGTGTCATGACACAGTGTGTCAGCTGAGGTGTATATCACATGAACCTATGGGAAACCTCTGAATCTATGTGAAATAAGCAACAAATCATTTATGTTTAGAGGTATAAATAAAAGTTTTCCATGACATATGTTGTGCCCCCCATATATTTCATCATGACAACGTATGTATATAGAATTGGTTTAACCTTCAGTTTGCTTGTAAAACCGAATTACAGTGTTGTGAATTGCTATATGTTTAAAAAATGTGTCACCAATATAAAAAGTTTGGAAAGTTCTGGCCTAGACTATTACCAATATCCTTTCTAATCCTGCCTTTTTCTGGTGGTGCGAGAGCTATAATTACTATGTGTTTTGGTACAGGTTTGTTTCACAAACTTTATGAGACAAATGCAACTTAAGAAGTGGTTTCTGGTACCATGATATATCTGTTCAATATTCAAAATTCTCAACTACCATAAAACTAACAAACTAACTAACAAAACATGGAGAACCAATCTAGAAACTATCCAAAAGGAATTTCTGCTTACAATAGTGGGGTGGGACTGAGCAGTCGCTGGTGATGCATCATTTTTCACCTGACAGAAAATTACGACATCTTCGACATCAGAGGTTCTGATCAAGTGGGTCCTCAGATGTTGGCCTTCGACTTCCTGAAATCCTAACAGCTGGTAAACTGGCTGGGATTTCTGGGAGTTGTAGGTCAAAACACCTGGGGACCACTGCTCTACATGGAAGGATTTCATAACAAGAAGATTTTGGGATCTCAGGCAGCTATTCCACTTGTAAGCCAAATGCCCAGGAAGGCCTTATGTGTTAAAAAGGCATGAGCAACTGTGATCCTCCAGATATTTATGTACTACAGTTTCCATCAGTCTGAGCCAACATAGGTGAGAGATTGTGGGAGATGCAGTATGTCAATTTCATTTTCACTATCAGACTCAACCTTATGGAATGGGAAAAAATTGATATCTCTGAACATGTGCAGAAATCTCATTACCATTAAAGAACCCCAATCAGCAACAACCACCTCACTGGTATTAGGAACAGAATAATCTATCTATCTATCTATCTATCTATCTATCTATCTATCTATCTATCTATATATATATATATGAATCTCACAAACAGCCTTGAGGAATAAGACTTTTATTCTTCTCTTTTAATCATGCTTTTGAATGTTGTAGAATACCTTTTTAACCAGCAGCTACTGAGCTTAAAAGGAAAACCTCCTAAGCTTAGAAGATACAGCACAGAAGATACAACTCATTGGTGGTCTGTAGTCTGTTGAATGGCCCACATAAATTCAAGCAGTTGTAGCTATTTTTAAGTCCTCATGAACAAACTCGAATGCGGAAAAACCCATGAGTATATAAAAAAGACTGCAACAAAGTCATGGAAGCAGAAAGACTTCTTAGGCTGGCAGCTTTCAATTCAACAGCAGCTCTCATACCCAGAATATCAAAATTTGTCCCTTGTAGCCCACTCTTTTGGCATTGTTTCTAACATTATGTCTGTGGGGCTGATGCACTGATGATTTCTTCATATTCTTGTGATGGGTCTAGTTTCGGTCCTGGGATCATAACAGTCTGTAAAGTAAAGGGGGGGGGGGGATAACAAGAAAACAAAAAAAATAGTTGATTATATCATTTCCATTCTGATGCTTGCTAAATGCTTAATATGAATTAATTTAATTTTAATTTTACTGGAATTGCATCTGTTTTATGGCACTGAATAATTATCTATATGTGTGCCACCTTGAGTCCCCTTCAGGGTAGAGAAAGGCAGGGTATAAATAAGGTAAATACATAAATAAATTAAACAAATTCTCACTAGGTTTCATGGGAGGACAGTATTGCTTCCTCCCAAACCTGGTTCTGCTAAGTTTTTCTTCTCCTTGAGGTGTAAGGAAAAGAAAACAGATGCTTTACCCTCCCATTCCAAAAGGATATACTCAGGAAGAGAGAAGAAAACAGTGATAAGTGAGTAAAAAAAGAGAAAGAAGTGTTGAAGCATAGTATCGATGCTGCATTCAGCGGGGCTTTTCTCTCTTCCACAAAATCCTTGTCAGTAATGGCAAGTGGCACCCCATACAATATTGTGTCTGATCAATATTTAACAGCAGTCATTCCATTTATAAAGCAGAAAACAGAGGTATGCATGGTCATTATGGACCGCCACAAGGGTCCAAGCTAAACTTGCACCTTTATAGCCCAATTCCTGAAGCAAAAAGCATTTTCTCCTTCTCAACTTAACCCATCTCAACACTACAGCACAGGCCTATGCCAGTACCTTGATGATGTGATCTTTAGGAGGAGCCCAAGCTGGAACAATCTTGCCATGTAGCCTCCACTGGCCATATGGGTTGACCAGATGCCTCTCAAAAACAAGATATTCCAGAACATCCTTTGGTATATTCTCCCCACCATACATCAGTCTCCCAAACTGGTCATAGACGGCAAGAGTCTGCCAAGAAAAATGAAAAAAGCAAATTTTATGGTGTTACACTGAAGTAGGTAGAACATAATAATAATAATAACAACAACAACAACAACAACAACAACAACTTTATTTGTAGGCCACCCTCTCTCCCCAGAGGGACTCAGGGCGGTTTACATACATATAAGAAGGCAAACAGTCAATGCCATAATTAAATCACACAGTATCTAAAAAATGAGAAATCATATTAACGGACTTATTATAATAAATTTCGGATTAACATAGTAAGCAATAAATTATTAAAAATACATCATAGTTATATCAATAAAAACATTACATAAAGCGTATACCCTGAACTATTAAAATGACAAAACTGCAGAAAGCGCCAAGCATTAGCTGTAATTCAAAGTACATCATAACAGCTATAAAGTGCAGTTGTGCTAGTCCTCCTCCTCTCCGTACACTAAGGTACACAGGTGTGTTTTGGGGAGCTTTTTGAAGGAGGGAGGGGCCATTTTGATTTCTTTAGGGAGGGAATTCCAGGGGCCCCTCTCTTGTTCCCACCAACCATGATTGTGACAGGGACTGAGAGCAGGGCCTCCCCACTGATCAAAGTGTGCGAGATGGTCTATATAGGGAGATGCGGTTGGAATAATAGCCTGGATCTGAACTGTTTAGATCACACCCTATCAAGAGTGAGGCGGCATTGTGACACATACCTGCCGGCTGTGCATTCGTACTGTGACTTGTCCATACAGGTTGTCTTTGCTCACCATAGTGGGGCATCGCACATGAACCACCCGAGGGGGCTCCAGGGACTCCAAAAAACTCCACCGGATAGTCTTGTATCTGTTTCCTCGTACCATATCCTAATAATGGGACAACAATGTTTTGCATTGAGGACGACTCAGTGATTTTACCCCTCTGGCACTAACTATATCCCCGTGAAATCCTCTTATTTCAGACCCCAAAGTAAAGAGTTACCAGCATAGCTCAGGACAGGGTGTGAGGAAATAGAAGAAAGCAATATAGTGATGTGTGTGTGGAAGGTGGGATACAAATGTTTCAAGGAATTTGATACTATAAAAAAATAACTGATATAAGAATCAACTTAACCAACAGCCCATTGCAGAAGCCATGGAGTGTTAAGATCAACTGATGAGATCTTCCAACATCAGATGAAACTGCAGATTGGTTAATTTGAACTAGGGGTAGTTTCTCATCAGCAAAGCTTGTAAATGTACTTACAGCATGTTTTGCTCCTCCTCATTACCTGGATAACGTGCATTGGCAGCTGGCATTATATACCCTGCTCTTCCTTGCACTTTTCCCTTGACGTTTACATTTTCTATCAAGTGTTTCAACTTTAAATACTATAAAATGTAAGTAACATGAAGCAAAGCATCTTCCGGTTTGGGAACAGGATTTCTACAATGCATATGAATTCTGGGCACAGGAGAAGGTTTCTATCCGTTTCCACACATGCTACACATCCATGTAAGACATTCCTGTAAGACACCAGGAAAAGTCTCTTCCACACATGTATAAGACCAAGGCTGTCTCTGAAGCCCACATGGGAAAGTCCACTACTTTCCATGATGCAAAGGAAACTTCAGTGGGAAAATTGAAGTCTGTATCAACCCAGCTCTTTGTCCCTCATGCCCTGGCTAGATGAACAAAAGATGTGACAAACTCCATAGGCCTGTGTAGCAATTGAACTAAGGTGTGAAGGGCACTTGGAAGAGAGGCGATGCATCCCACCATCCGGTGCCCAACCCACTATAACCTGAAATGGCATTGCAGATAAGAGATTATGAATATTCCAATCATGTGAGGAAATGCTAGGACCATCAACATTTCTTTCCACAATCTGGAGGAAGTTTCAACTTTCTAGCAACATATTTTCTGATCTCATCATAGATATTTACCGGGTAACAGTATTCAGTCACTAAAGAGTGCAGCTTCTGTTTGTTAAAGCTGAAAAAGATTGAAATAATAATAATTTAATAATATGGCTATGAATACTAATTCTATCAATATATTGTTCATTGCTGAAAGAAATTGCCTTCTATTAGTTGCTGGAAAAAAACCCATCAAAACAAAACCAAAATTACATTGGCACACTGACAAACCACTATAAACAATAGTAATATTATTATTATTATTATTATTATTATTATTATTATTATTATTACTTTATTTGTACCCCGCTAGCATCTCCCGAAGGACTCGATGCGGCTTACATAGGCCAAGGCCTCAAAACACAACACAACAATACAACACCTAAAGCAAATTAAAAAGTTAAAGCAAAATTAACAACAAGCAATAAACAATACATCAAGACACTATAAAACTGGGCCGGGCCAAAGTAGTGGGTAGAAGATTAAAAGTGCTGATGTGGCAGGAGGTATGTAGGATTATAGGGTAAGTGCAGTGTGCGGTGTGCCACAATCATAGTTCTACTAAAGTGCTTCTGGGACTTGGTATTGGAGATTCCTAATCTGGGAAGGCACATCGGAACAGCCAGGTCTTCAAATTCCTTCTAAAAACTGCCTATGTAGGGGCCTGTCTAAGATCTTTTGGGAGGGAGTTCCAGAGTCGGGGGGCCACCACAGAAAAGGCCCTGTCTCGAGTCCCCACCAAGCGCGCTTGCGACGCAGGTGGAATCATGAGCAGGGCCTCTCCGGATGAACGCAGTGAACGTGTGGGTTCATAGACGGAGATGCGGTCACGCAGATAGGATGGTCCCAAACCGTTTAGGGCTTTGAAGGTAAGCACCTGCACCTTAAATTGGGCTCAGAAAATAAACTTAAGAAACTACATTATGCCTCCCATTTTTAAATAACATGAAAATGCATATTTGGGATCATATTGTTTCTTCTCTGCTTTTTGAAGTGAAATAACCAGAACCAGTATTTGTGTGAATTAGTCTGAACAACAGTGGGTCTCTCGAGAGGAATTTAGTTAACTACGTAGTCTGGCACAACAAATTCACATGAAACATAAAGCTTGAGGCATTCCTTTTTTTTTACACACCACAAAACTGATGGTCTACAACAGTCATCCTCGAACTGTGGCCCTCCCTAGAAAAACCTTAAAACCTGGCTCTTCCGCTGCGCCTTTGATGAGTAGGTATATAATCCCACATGACTGCTCTGCCTCAAAGTTCTGTCATTGGAGTATACGTCCCCCCATGGGAAAGCTTGTTTCCACAACTCCTGCTAAAATGAGCCCTTCTCCGTAAATTACCTGTTTCCCTCATTTATCTCGCCCGACTTTTTAATTAGTTTTAATCAGTTTGTCCTTTTAATTACTACATGTTGCCCGCCCATTATTATTGTACCTGTGCATATTCTTTATTTTTCATATTGCTATGTATTCATGTGTTTTATGTAACTATGATGTTATTATTTGTTGTTCGCGTTTTCGGTTTGTGTTTTTGGTTTTTCTTTATTGTAATTGTCATTTGGGCTTGGCCTCACGTAAGCCGCTCAGAGTCCCCATTGGGGAGATGGAGGCGGGGTAACAAATAAAGATTATTATTATTATTATTATCATCATCATCATCATCATCATCATTATTGGGCCTTTAGCTTCCAGAATTCCTGACAACTGAACAAGCTAGTTAGACCTTCTGGGAGTTGGAGAGCCAAACAGCTGGAGGACCGCAGTTTGAGGATGCCTGGTCTATAATGATGCCTGAGAAGTTACCAACAGTGCAGACTGATTTGTAGACATTAAAAATGGATGGTTGTCAAATGCTGCCTTAGTGGTTGCCAATAATTCCTTCACAAGGTTGTCCCCATGTGTTAGAACAGGGATGGAGAATGTATGGCCCTCCAGATGTTTTTCAATTGCACTTCCCATCAGCCCTAGCCAGTATAACTAGTAGTCGTGAAGGTGAACACTGTAGTCCTACAACATCTGGGGAGATACAAATTCTTTAGTCCAGACTGAGACATCACAACAGAGGAAACACTTTGCCTGTCTGGTCTCCCCTCCTGGTTGCATCAAAAACAGGAAAGGAATTCATACTGTTCCTGGGTACTTTGTGAACACCAGGGTATGGGGAAGAGTGATTCTATGTATGTATTACTGAATTATCTGCAAAGATGGAACTGAAAAATAAAAGCACACAGTCACCCCAGCTAACAGAATTTTGGACCCCTAATCTTTCTTATCTCTTTCAATAAATAAAAGGCCTGCTAACTACAGTGTAGTCGTGAGCTGGTATTTAACTTATGTATAGTTAAAAAGCACTAGAAAATGTCCTTAAATGGAACAAGCACATGGATCAGTGCCAGGCTTTATGACCATAACAAGGCTAATGTGTGAAAGTGTCACATCTTAAGATCTTGAGTATAATTAAGAGTTCAGTACCATATTTTATATCAGTCTAAAGTACTCCAATGAAACATAACCCGCTTACTTTAGACCCCCAGCCCCTTAGATTTAATAAGGCGGTTTGCTGCTACATAACAGGCATGTGAGTCAGTAGGGGGAGCAACAGTAAAAACCCACTAAAATATTCTGTAGGAACTTACTTTGTGAAATTATTGTGAGCTTCAATAAATATATCCTGGGCTTTTTCTGCAAAGGTTTTGGTGCTGAAATCAGGATCATAATCTTTAATCTTTCGGATTCTGCCAAGGTAAAAAACAAGAAAAATCTGAGGGGGTGGAAACAGTAAGGATACAAAAGAGCAAGGGAAATGGCACACAGCAATGTAGAAATGTCCACTATTTTTCTTGAGATACTGAACTGAACATTATGCATACAACATGATATATACTTTAATATTTAGTTCACTTTGTCCTGATACATGTGTTAAAAAGTGCCCAGAAAACAAGATCCTCTTTCTTGTCTTATTTTTCTTAGAACTGTGACAACCTAGCACTAGAGTCCTGCCTCCAAGACCTCAAGTAGGCCTATTTCCACCAATAACTGTCTGTCTACTAAAAGTACAATAAACCAAAAGGAGCCCCCGGTGGCGCAGTGGGTTAAACCCCTGTGCCGGCAGGACTGAAGACCGACAGGTCGCAGGTTCGAATCTGGGGAGAGGCGGATGAGCTCCCCCTATCAGCTCCAGCTCCTCATGTGGTGACATGAGAGAAGCCTCCCACAAGGATGATAAAACATCAAATCATCCAGGTGTCCCCTGGGCAACGTCCTTGCAGACAGCCAATTCTCTCACAACAGGAGTGACTTGCAGTTTCTCAGGTTGCTCCTGACATGACAAAACAAACAAACAAACAAACAAACCAAAACTGCTGCACTATCCTAAAAATGAACTTTATTTATTTATTTATTTATGCAATTTCTATCTCGCCTTTCTCAAACCCGAAGGTGACTCAAGGCAGCTTACAACCCGGCAGCTATTCGATGCTGTAACAATATACAATGTATAATTTAAAACAAATTTATAAAAACAAACAATAAAACCATCTAAAACATATAAAACCAATGCTTTCACTGTTCATCTCGGTTGTTCAAAAACATCATCTAAGCCATTCCACAATTCAGTTCCACAGGGATCCATTTTAATCTATTGCACTGCGTTTCCAAAGGCTTGTTCAGAGCCAGGCTTTTACATTCCTTCGGAAGGTCAGGAGGAAGGGGGCTGATCTAATATCCCTAGGAAGGGAATTGCACAGCCGAGGGGCCACCACTGAGAAGGCCCTGTCTCTTGCCCCCACTAGGCGGGCCTGTGAAGGTAACAAAATTACAGCCAAAATGAAGGGCTAAAATTATGTGCTTCTGACTCCTTCAATTTGTTGACAAGACATAGTGATAATCTCTAGAAGTTTAGATTCTCCAAAATAAAATGGCCTATCAAGGACTGAATCTCCATGTTCAGCAATAGCTTACCACAGTTTAACAGGAGCTGAGGATAGCTTCAGTGTTGGAAGAGATGGAGTTTTCTTAGTAAAAGATTTTCTCCTCTCCAACTCATAGCAAATCTATGGTTCTTCAAGGTATTCGGGCACTTGTACATTTGTACGACCCAATCAATACATTTAGAAAAAGTATACTGTAACTCTAGGGCTGTACCACTTTAGAACATAGGTAAGGGAAAGGTCATTATTTCAGAGTACACTCTATGGATGACGAAAAGATTAAAACTCCCTTGTTTATGGAAGAATAATATGTATACAGAATCACCCTTCTCCCTTAGTGTTCATATTCTTTAGACATTCATATCAGAACGTATTCCAATCCACCAGCAGTGACAGTCTCAAGGGGTAGAGTACCAGAAAAGCCAGACAACGTGCATTTCTGGAAGAATACACACTACAATCCATGGGACCAGTATCCAAAGTTTCATTTATCCAAAGTTTCATTTGTCTTATTTTCTTGTTCCTCCAGCATGACTCTATATGGCATTCTTGAGAAATAAGTCCTTTGTTTTTAATAGGGTTCACCATTAACCATTATTTCACTTAACTACACAAAATCCAGTAACGTATTCCCCTACAGAGACAGGGTTTGTACTATATATTAACTATAACTGTTCTAAGCTTTTGGGAACTGAGGAGTCCTTATGATCTGCATACATGCTAAAAAGCTACTATCCATTGGAGCCCAGTGGCACAAACAACAGATGCCAGAAGGGAAAAACACAGTGTCATGGAATAGCCAGATGGACCATGGGCTGAACGGCTTCCACAAAGAGAGTGGTACTTACGCCAGCTGTGAAGTTGCCGTCTGCTTGACCTGCTCTGCCCTTTGCTTGAGCCCTTCTTTTGACAAAGATGAAATGCGTGCATCCCCTTCTGGAGGAACGTAAGACTCAAAGATGCCAGCTGTGCAACCAAAACAGAAAGCAATCAGATATGGCAAAAGGTTATTGTACAACGAAAAATACAAACAAAACCTCAAAGTGAGATTAATTTCAAAAACTCTTGAACAATAATAAACACATCATTTCTCATTTATCTACTGAGATGTGTTTCACAGTGCCTGCACTGAAACCTAAAATCTAAATTAAATAGATTAAGGAAGGAGAATGGGAGTTCAAATTAATAGTTAAGTCAGTGATGTTGCAGGGAATGAGGAGAGTAGTTTAGCAATGCTTTGATAAGAAATGTGACAATAAAATACTTCAGTTAACTAGGATGTATGAAGTTCAGGTTCAAGCTGCAGATTAACTGCATGGCCCTCACAAGCATCCTTGTGAGGGCCATGAATGTTTGAAAATAAACATTTTAATTATAATTTACAGAGTCTTGTCCCTCTGCTAGCCAGAGCTCTCACCTCATTCTTAATTTTTAGTTGCCCCATGTATTATTATGTGCTCAAATAACCTGAGCTCACCATTAAGGGGAATCGTGATAGTTTTCAGGCATTGTTGTCAACAATTGGATGTTACAATCATAAAATATTGTGAAAAGTAACAAATGAGCAAAAATCCTCTTTGGAAATTTTGTAAATATGGAAAAGCACTATAAAATAAGTTAAGAAGTTACACAGTTAATGTTGTGAAAGAAAAAAAGTTTCTATGTAGCCTACATTGTAGATGGCAAACTAACCCTTACTCAGGAAAAAGTCATACTTGTCTGCAAAACCTATAATTATCATTGATAATTTAAAATTATCCGATAAAAGAATGACAATTCTATACTAAGGACAATTCATGTAATAATACTGAGTCAATGTCCACTTTGTGTCTGCTGTCAAGAATCGTGTGTCTGTACTCCATGTAGTCAAACCCATCTTACCTCTTTCTACTCAGATAAATGATCACAACCACCTACCTGTGCAGGCAACATTTATAGGTCGCATCACTGGTTCATTTGGGATCACCACCCCAGCAGCCCGGGCATGCTTCCTCTGGTCTTCTGGTGAGGAATACTTTGCATTGACTGAAGGGGGAATGAAATGCCGTCTTTTTGTTCTCACTGGGATCACAAGAGAAGATGGAGTCAAGCGAGCAGGATTCAACAAGCACTCGGTGCCCTGTGGAGTAATAAGAACAGCAGTCTAGTAAAACAATTAGAACTCAGCCAAATTTTAGGTGGTGAATGATTTAAGTGCTTCCCAAGCCGAGAGGTTTTCACTGCAACCAAATACACATAGCAAACAAGTAAGCTCTACTATTATGTATGTATTCAATACATGTCAATGTTTAAAGATGCACACAAATGCACCAGTAAAATAGCTCTACCTATTTACAAGTAATGGCAGTCCCCAAGCTTTGTTCTTTCAGGAGTGAGGGGTAGATTACTCTCACTTCCTGTTGTCTCACCCCCGTTCTTAACTATGAGACGTTTGTTAAGTTGGATATTTATGACTCAGGGGCTTCCTGTAGTTACGTGGCTTCATTCTTGGTTCTTCCCAAGGCAGTTAAGTTCGTTTTGCTTTCTGTAGTCAAGATCAGTGCATACTACCACTTTCCAAGAAAAAGGGGAATGTTGCCAAAAAACACTGGCTATCTGAAACACAGTCAAGAGTGTAAGTAATATGCATTCACACACAGAAGTGTACACTTTGCTTTCACAAGGGAAATCTATGGGGCATGCAGATAACAACCTTATTCCAGAAAACTTCACACACATAAGTATTAGCATTTTCTCTAGAGCAAGAAAGACACACATGCAAGTATATACAACCTTTCGCCAAACTATCCAAAACCTCATCCCAAAGCAATGCTTCCAGGAACACACACTAGAAGACACTGGGATCAGACACACACATTTTAATTAGAAAGTTAATGTTCCTTTTACAAATGTCAAAGAAATATCCATCTTAGTCTGTTTTATTGCAAAAAAGGGGGGGAAAGGGGTGCTGCTAAAATCTTTCACTTTCCATTTCTGTTTATGATTTTACCAACAGCAGAGGAAGAAATTGGCAAAATCATTTGAGTATTCCTCACTGAAGAAAACCCTATGAATTTCATGGGGTTGCACGGCACATCTACACTGTAGAATCAATGCAGTTTGACAGCGCTTTAACTGCCATACTAAATGTTGTGGAATCCTAAGATCTGATGTGAGGCACAAGTCCTCTTTGGCAGAGAAGGCAAAAGACCTTGTATAACTACAACTCCCAGGATTCCACTACATTGAGCTGTGGCAGTTAAAAGTTGTGTCAAACTGTATTAATTCAACAGTGCAAATGCACTCACTCTTGAAGCACACATTTGTAACATTTGTACACTCTTTAAGATACACCCCTTTTCCATTCAAAATAAACTTTGCAATGCACTCACACACAAATATTATGTCACTTGAAGAAGGTAAACCACTTAAACAAAACTCTCAAGCATGCAGTAACAAATTCAAAGACAAAATAGTTTAAATAAAAATAAAACCACCTGTTAGCAGAATGTAACATTAAGTTTGACTTTCTTTGTTTTCAATTACTGCATTTTAACATTAATATCAATTCAATAAAGAGTTTATGTTATCATTCATTTCATTAGGTGATCCCTCGTTGTCCAAGTAGGATAGCCTTCCAAGATCTGATGGTGAGTCCATACGTGACTGTGGAGCCCTATTCTTGATCTGCATCTTCTCCTGCAGTGAGGGCATTGGTTTCTAGGTGGAAGGCGGTCCCGGTCGGGGTTGGCTTGACGCGCCTTTCTCTTGGCACGTTTCTCTTTCGCCCTCCATTCGTGCCTCTTCAAATTCTACAGCACTGCTGGTCACAGCTGACCTCCAGCTGGAGTGCTCAAGGGCCAGGGCTTCCCAGTTCTCAGTGTCTATGCCAGAGTTTTTAAGTGTCTATGTCAGCTATGCCAGAGTTGAGCCCATATTTAAATCTATTTTCTTGCACATCAACATTCTGTTTTCTGTTCTTGAATTCGGAGTAGAGCAACTGCTTTGGGAGACGGTGGTCAGGCATCCGGACAACGTGGCCGGTCCAGCGGAGTTGATGGCGGAGGACCATCGCTTCAATGCTAGTGGTCTTTGCTTCTTCCAGTATGCTGACATTTGTCTACTTGTCTTCCCAAGAGACTTGCAGGATAGAGTTTATGTTATGGCATAGTATATGTTATAGAAGTATTAGCTGAGGCTATTATTCATAGTTAACTCTCAAGCAACCAGAATCTGCATTGATCCGGTATCTACCAATCCCCATGGCTGCTGGTTCACCGAGGGCCCTTCCACACAGGCATATAACCCAGAATATCAAGACAGATCATCCACAATATCTGCTTTGAACTGTATTATCTGAATCCACACTGCCATATAATCCAGTTCAATGTAGATTTTACACATCTGTGTGGAAGGAGTCTGAGAGTCTACGGTAAATAGGCATGTTATAAAGGCCCACTCATAGAATCATAGAGTTGGAAGAGACCTCATGGGCCATCAAACCCCCGCCAAGAAACAGGAAAATTGTATTCAAAGCACCCTGACAAATGGCCATCCAGCCTCGTTTAAAAGTTTTCAAAGAAGGAGCCTCCACCACACTCCGGGGCAGAGAGTTCCACTGCTTAACAGTTCTCACAGTCAGGAAGTTCTTCCTAATATTCAGATGGAATCTCCTTTCTTGTAGTTTGAAGCCATTGTTCTGCGTCCTAGTCTCCAGGGCAGTAGAATTTATTATTTACAGTATTTCTATACCGCTTTTCTCACCCCTAGGGGGACTCAAAGCGGTTTACACATAACTGACAAAACTTCAATGCCATACATTGGACACTGACGCGATGCCAAACCATAACAACCACAATAATAAAACCACAATTAAACATAAATCATAATTAGACAGTACATAAGCAATCATTAAAACAATAAATAATAAAAACAGTCTCGCCAGTCGTATTGTCATTCTAGTCCATGTCCTTTAAATTCTACAAACATCTACTGTCCGAAGGCCTGATCCCAAAGCCATGATTTTAATTTCTTTATAAACGTCAGGAGGGAGGGAGCAGATCTTACTTCATTTGGGAGGGTGTTCCATAGGTGAGGTGCCACCGCCGAGAGGGCCCTGTCCCTCGTCCCCGCCAGACGCATTTGTGCAATTGACGGGAGTGAGAGCAAGGCCTCCCCGGATGATCTTAGATTACGAGATGGGGCCTAGGGGTGGATGCATTCAGACAAGTAGGCTGGGCCAGAACCACATAGCTTTTATAGGTCAAAACCAGCACTTTGAATTGGGCTCGGAGATGGACTGGCAGCCAGTGGAGCTGGCACAACAGGGGGGTGGTATGCTCCCTGTATATCACCCCAGTTAGTAATCTGGCTGCTGCCCGTTGGACTAGCTGAAGTTTCCGAACCGTCTTCAAAGGCAGCCCCACGTAGAGCGCGTTGCAGTAATCTATTCAGGATGTAACCAGAGCGTGGACGACTATGGCCAGATCAGACTTCCCAAGGTATGGGCGCAGCTGGCGCATGAGTTTTAACTGTGCGAAAGCTCACCTGGCCACCGCCGAAACCTGGGGTTCCAGGCTCAGCGATCAATCCAGGATCACTCCCAAGCTGCAAACCTGCATCTTCAGGGGGAGTGTAATCCCATCCAACAAAGGCTGTTTGGCCTTTCGACTGACCAGGAGGACCTCTGTCTTGTCTGGATTCAATTTCAATTTGTTAGCCCTCATCCAGTCCGACACAGCACCGGTTCAAGGTCTGAACAGCCTCCTTAGTAACAGGTGGGAAGGAGTGACAAATTTGCACGTCATCTGCGTACAGATAACACCTTACTCCGAAACTCCGGATGATCTCCCCCAGCGGCTTCATGTAGATGTTCAATAACATCGGGGACAGCACTGAACCCTGAGGGACTCTACAAGACAATGGTGGTGGAGCCGAGCAGGTGTCACCCAATAACACCTTCTGAGACCAACCCTCCAGGAAGGACTGAAGCCACTGCAGAGCAGTACCCCCAAGTCCCATTTCTACGAGAATGATTTCCCCTCACATATTTATACATGGCCCTCATCATGTCTCCTCTCAGCCTTCTCTTCTTCAGGCTAAACATGCCCAGCTCTTTAAGCCACTCCTCATAGGGCTTGTTCTCCAGACCCTTGATCATTTTAGTCGCCCTCCTCTGGACACATTCTAGCTTGTCAACATCTCTGTCCAATTGTGGTCCCTCATAACACACCCTTCAGATCTCTAGCTTTTCCCAATGTAGTTTCTTCTCCTTTTCGCAGACTCCTTTAAGACGAGCCTTTAGCTCCAGAAGGGAGAACAAGCCTTTCTTTCCAATTATGAGCACGAAATGGACACGGAAACATTCACTGGCAATAGCAGAGCAAATAGACTTCTCCTCCCCTTGCCCTCAAATTCAGTCTCAGTCCCATTTACCTGCAAATAAGCGCGCATTGAGAGCTTCCTCACTACAGCCTGCATCGAGGCCGCCATCTTGGGGGAAACGCAAGGCACGATGGGAAGAGGGCGGGGCCTCCAGTGAGGCCTTGGAAACAGAGACTCACTCTGGGCAGAAACAGAGGAAAGGAGGTTGTCCTACAGGCCTGGGCCTACTTGGGCCCTCCAGGTCTTTTGGACTACAACTCCCACCATTCCTAACAGCCTCAGGCCCTTTCCTTTTCCCCCTCAGCCGCTTAAAGCGGCTGAGGGGGAAAAGGAAAGGGCCTGAGGCTGTTAGGAATGGTGGGAGTTGTAGTCCAAAACACCTGGAGGGCCCAAGTTGGCCCAGGCCTGCTGTACAAGAGTTGAATGAAAAGTAATGCCTCCACCTTCGTTACTTGGGTTTGGATGGGAATATTTTAATAAATCAAATGCAGAAATAATCCTTAGAATGTGCTCTTTAACTACCACTATTCACTTTTCCACATAATCACTAGACAATTGGATACATTTCTGCCAACGATGAACAAGTTTTCTGAAGCCCTCACGGAAGAAGTCGACACTTGTTTCCGCGACCAGCGTCTCACGGTTCTCTCATCCTGGGTACCCATCGTGCACAGATCTTCTGATAGCCAAGCCAAGCAATAATGGAAGCCCTCACAGAAGAAGTCGACACTGTTTCCGCGACCAGCGTCTCACAGTTCTCTCGTCCTGGGTACCCATCGTGCACAGACCTTCTGATAGCAATAATGTGACCCACACATTCTTGTGAAATGCCGATTGTGCTTGAAATTACTCTCTGAGTGATACGACGATCATCCTGAATCAATCTGTCAAACTGTTGCTTGTGAAACTCGGTGGTTGCTGTCACAGGACGTCCAACTCTTTGTTGGACATTTTTAAACTTACTCGCCCAACGACGCACAGTACTCACATCAACACAATCCCCATAAACAGCCTGCATTCTCTGATGAATCTCCTTCTGCTGTCAAGAATTCAATGACTGCACATTGCTTAAGTCGCATTGACCAACTGTCTGCGCAGGGTTCCATATTTTGCACTTTAATAACACAACTGTTCAATGCTAAGGCTTCCCACCAAAATGGAACTGTAGAGGAGAGTCTACTGAACAAGCCAGTGCCTGCCGCTGAAAGGGTCTTTTGAGTGAAATTTGCAAATGCTAAGCAAGGGGTTTTGAATGAATGAATGACCACATCTGGAATATGTGTCCAATTCTGGGCACCACAATTCGAGAGATATTGACAAGCTGGAATGTGTCCAGAGGAGGCGACTAAAATGATCAAAGGGTCTGGAGAACAAGCCCTATGAGGAGCGGCTTAAGGAGCTGGGCATGTTTAGCTTGAGAAGAGAAGGCTGAGAGGAGATATGATAGCCATGTATAAATATGTGAGGGGAAGCCACAGGGAGGAGGAGGGAGCAAGCTTGTTTTCTGCTTCCCTGGAGACTAGGACGCGGAACAATGGCTTCAAACTACAAGAGAGGAGATTCCATCTGAACATGAGGAAGAACTTCCTGACTGTGAGAGCCGTTCAGCAGTGGAACTCTCTGCCCCGGAGTGTGGTGGAGGCTCCTTCTTTGGAAGCTTTTAAACAGAGTCTGGATGGCCATCTGTCAGGGGTGATTTGAATGCAATATTCCTGCTTCTTGGCAGGGGTTGGACTGGATGGCCCATGAGGTCTCTTCGAACTCTATGATTCTATGATCCATGTATTGTAGCTTTTTTTGTTGTTGTTGTGTCAGGAGCAACACGGAAGAAAATGTTTTAAAAGCAAGAGGCATCATGTAGAGGTCATATAAAGTTCAAGCTTAAATAGGAAGTTGAGTTGTGGTTAAGCCAAAGGTTGTGGTTAAGTGCAAAGTCTGCAGGTACAAGAATGTACTTTCCATCAAAAGGCTGATGGAGCAGGAAGAATAAAGGTCAAAATATTTTCCATGACGAAAATATTGTTGTTTACTTGAGGGTATATAACGGTGTACAAAAGCCAAGGGGTGCGCGGCAGTCTTTGAAAGCACAAATAGAAGTGCCTCTGTCCGTCTCATGTTGATCAGCTTGATTAAATGGTGTCTTACATGAACCAATTGAACTCTGTGGATTTCTTCAAAAAGGGACCCCGCACCCTAAACCTGTGATCCCTTACACCGCATACCAGTATTGCTATCTGTTGAGGAGTTAAGAAGGTGGAGGCATTACTTTTCATTCAACCCTTGTCGAATGAATGCAGGTTGACACCACTTTACCTGCCATTGCTCAGTTTTGTGGAATCCTAAGACCTGTAGTTTCACATGGTCTTGAGTCTTTTCTGGCAAAGAGTCCTGGGCCTCCTCAAACAACGAATCCCAGGATCCCATAACACTGAGTCACTGCATTTTATTTATTTATCATGTCAGAAGCGAATTGAGAACACAGTTATAACGTATTTTAAAAAAACACAAACAAAGTTAAAAACTTGGCCTTATAACAAATGTCCTTTGGCCAGAAGCTGGCCACTTGGAGTGCCTCAGGTCACTGTGAGAAGGTCCTCCATTGTGCATGTGGCAGGGCTCAGGCTGCATTGTAGTAAGTGGTCTGTGGTTTGCTCTTCTCCACACTCGTATGTCGTGGACTCCACTTTGTAGCCCAATTTCTTAAGACTGATTCTGCACCTCGGGGTGTCAGAGAGCTGTCTTTTCAGCGCCTTCCAGGTTGCCCAGTGTTCTGTGAGCCCAGGAGGGAGTTTCTCATCCGGTATCAGCCACTGATTGAGGTTCCGGGTTTTAGCCTGCCACTTTTGGACTCTCGCTTGCTGAGGTTTTCCTGTGAGTATCTCTGTGGATCTTAGGACGCTATTTCTTGATTGAAGACTTTGGCGTGGTGGCTGATATCCAAACAGAGGATGGGCCAGAGATGTCAATGCCTTGGTCCTTTCATTGCTGGCTGCTACTTCCTAGTGGCTGTCAGGTGATGCGATACTGGCTAAACAGTATAATTTTTCCAGCAGTGTAGGGCATAGACACAAAATGAGAGTTTAAAATTCATGCTTAAAACCAGCTTCATAATGATGAAGCATTTTTTTCCAAGAGCCCTGATTCAACACTCAAACCTCCATGCTTCAATTGTTTCATCCCAAGCTATACATCATGCATAACTTTAAACACTTTTGCCCTTTAATCATTTGGTGTTCTACTCCCTGACAAGTTTCACTGTATCTTTTTTCACTTATAGATGTCATTCCTGCAACAGGGAAGGAGAAACAAAACTGTGCTATAAATTAGGTAGATTGTAACCCTTTAGATGCGTTTGGACTGCAACTCACAGCAGCCCTATCAAGTATGATCATTGCTGAGGAATGATGGCTGTTGTGGCTCGCCAACGTCGAAACGCCACACTTCCCCACACACCCATGGCTTCAGATTGATCCCAAAAAAAGGCACATGGGCAACCCAAGCCATATAAGCTTCTATAAAACAATCAGATACCATCAAATTTGAGGACATTACACACAAAAGCATCATAAATTTTCACTGGATAGGTGCTGTATTGACTACCTTATAATCCTTCATAGTCACATGGATACAATCTGGAATTGTGAGAAAATAAAAGGGTGAGTTTGAAAAACTCGTGAACATGCCATCTTTTCCTTTTTTAAAAAAAACTATAAGAACTGGCCTTTTGTGTGGATGAACTATCCCCTGCTATGTAGACCTGGCCAAGATAATTAGTGTTATTTCCCAAGCTATCTGATGCCGGGAACTAACCATTATAATTTTCCAGTGTTCCAGGATGATGCAATATTTGTACTCTGGAAACTCACTAAGGATGGTAACCAATGGCTTAGAGACCAACACTGTTCCCTAGACCATAATATCAATAGCGCCGGCATACAATAAACACAACTGATAATGCTGGTTTTAAAAATTATTTATTCAAATAGACATTCATTTGCAAGTGTTTGTTGTGTACAGTGCAATACTTTCAATCTATTAGTGTTCCATAATCATTTATCAGATAATATATTTCCTTTAAGGGGGCACAGTCTACTATATATATAATACATATAAAAGTATCATAGACTCTTGTTTAACATCTGCTTCCTCCTTGTTTACAGTCTTATAGGATCCTCTATATACATTTTTAGTTTAATTTTACATTGAGGTGTTGAATCATTCATTAACAAAGTTATCTATCTGTTCTACTCTTAATAATACAGTTATTTTATCCATTATCAGCATATCTGATTAGGAAAGCCCCTACCCTAGAAACCTTTAAAAAATAACCTCAAAACCTGGCTTTTCCGCTGCACATTTGATGAGTAGATCTATATCCTCATACTAGTGTTTAGTTTAACAGTTTTTGTTATTGGAGTGCATTCCCCACATAGGAAAGTTTTACTGCACGACCTCCACTAAAACAAGCTCTTCTCCGCAAATAATCTGTCCTTGTTTATCTCGTGTTTATCTCGCCTGAGTTTTTAATCTGTTTCTACCAAATTTTCTTTTATCCATTACATGTAGCTCGCTCATGTTACCATGATTGTGTTTATTGTAATTTTATATTGCTATGTTGTCTTTTGTTATATGTAATTGCATTATTATTGTTTATTATTTGCATTTTCGGTTTTGTTTTATTTCATGTAATTGTTGTTTTGGGCTTGGCCTCATGTAAGCCGCACCGAGTCCCCATTGGGGAGATGGAGCGGGGTACAAATAAAGTTTATTATTATAATAATTGTTTATTATTATTATTATTATTATTATTATTATTATTATTTGTAATATATTTTCCCCATTCTTCTAAAGGAGGTATCTCTGGGGTTTCCCAATATCTGGCATATACTATTAGAGCAGCCACTGTTGTGTAAAACAATTTTTTTCCAAATTTTCTTTCTAATTCTTTGTTGGGCATATTCAAAAAGTACATTTGCGGTGTCATTTTAAAATGTCTGTTTAATATATTTTTTTTGAGATATACATGGATTTATTTCCAGTAATTGTTTACTTTGCAAGTCCACCATGTGTGGTGGAATGTACCTTTTTCTTTCCCACGTTTCCAACATTTGTTGGAGCAATTATACACCTTAGCTAGTCTCTCT